CTGCATCATTACTAATCTTTTGTAGCTGCTGAGTGAAGTTCCTTTAACAAAACATAATACCAAAGTGAATTAAACATGTGCAGTTTTATCATAATAATCAATAAAAACAATGAACAAAAAGTCACCATCAGAAAGACTAATCAAATAATCATGTAAGATATCAAATTATATATTTCATCACCAGGTTTTGCATACATTCATAAAATAACCATCTGCACCTTAACACTTTCTCCTGGAAACTGGCCTTGAATAATTTATTTTTGTTACACAGGTATAACCCAATCTGTCTCTTTGGTTTGTGCATTTCTAACCTACTTCCCTTCACTGAAAAAGTAGGCATATGATTTCAGTAAGTTGGCTTTGTGTGTGTGTGTCCCTTATCAACATTTCAACATGGTGATCAATTTTCACAGAACTTGGTACGAACATTATGCCACTGGGGGATACCCTCAAAACACGTATTCCTTAATTTCCTACAATACACAATAACAGCAACCTGTGAGGTGTAAGTGACATAAGTGACATTGTACAAGACACATGATAACAGGGATCTCAAAAAAGTTACCATGCACCTGAAAATTAGCAGACAGAAAATTCATACTTGCCATAGTTACGAAACTAATATAAGTGAGTGGAATAAGTGCCTCTTGCCCTCAGAGCACCCCAGGGGGAAAACCAGCACTTCAACAAGACAACCAAACCATCTTGAAATTTAACGAACAAAACATCAATAATCAAAGTGCAGTGTGTTGATCCCTGCCTCACACCAAACTGCATCTCTCATACTGCCAAAAAACATTGTATACAAGTCAAGAAATGCATGGACGGTGCAAATTCTGTAGCGTTAACTGTATTAACACCTCCAGACTTTTGTTTCATAAATGGAACCTTTAATGCTCATTTACAAACTGCATAAAACAGGCAAGGTGGACAAGCAGAAAGATGCAAGAATGGATGGGCATAAAATCTGACATAAGTCCAAGGGTTCCTGTGTTCCAAGATGACAGCATGTAAGTCTCATTTGTTTAATTATGTCAGCATTTCCTGTTGAACTTTGGTTCGCAACTTCTTTACTCGGATAAATATTTAGCAAACTACATTTTAAATATTTGCAGAAAAACACATAGGTCTTCAAGTAAAGAATTCATTATTGTTGTCCAATTTATATCAAAGATGGAATGTGTCAACAGATTTTAGTTAAACACCCTAATATAAAATTTTATGAAAATCTGATCAGTGATTCACACTTTTTACATGCAGAAAGACAAACAGTGAAACTAGTAGACTAGTAACAAATAGATATGAATTTTATGAAAGGGACAATGTGATAAGCTGAAGCATTTCTGATTTGTCGTTTGACACTTTTGTGGACCTACAAAGCAAGAATGTGCGCTTGGAGAGAAAAATCTGTAACTCAGTTGATCACTATTCCATCAAACTAGCACAGAAATATTAGCGAACTCAAATCTTAGAACTGAGAAATATCTTTATAGATAAATCTCTGACAAATTTAGGAAGCATCTTTGACATACAAAGTAAAAGTTTTTTCAGCAAATAATTTTTTTTATCATCATTACATAATGGGGAAGTCACCCAGTTCATACCAGATGATATGTCAAGTTATAGGTGGACCCATAGTTTAAAAGGGAGCATTAAGATTATCAATAAGCCTCCAGCCCCATTAATTTTAAATCCTTAAATTTGATGCATTTTTAAAAGTACCAAAAGTACTGTAAGTAAATAACTTTTTAATATAAACTCCTTGTTTATAATGTAATATTTATAAGTTTAAATACCTCTTCTATGTTATCAGAATGATAGCTCAATTTTAAAAAAAGAACTAACATTACCAATGAAAAATACCTAGTCAGGAATGCAATACTCCATTCTTAACAAAGTCTATGGAAAAAGTGCCTCCGATCTACCCATTTTTGCTTTGTGCAGCATTTTCCAAGAATGTAACTACTGCAGTAATCTTGGTATACCTGTAATAATTTAAAAAAACTGTCAGGCAATACTTTCAATATCGTGTATTCTGAATGTGAGAAAGATCAGACACTGAAGCCAACAGTTTTGTAATTTAATTTATTACCAGCTCTGCATCACACATTTTTACATCATAAGAATGTTCATGTGCTTCTGATTTAAAAATTTTAACCACACGTTACACTGCCACCAGTAGAAGGATGTGGTCCCAATCATTTACTGAATTTGTGGCTACATCACTCCAAAGATTCAGTATCCATCCCTGAATACATCAGTAAACTTACCTGCATACATATATCTTTTGTCTTATATAACCTTCCCATGCCAGATCATGTTTGATACTGATTAAAGTTATTATTAAAATAAGGAGTATAGCCAAATATTGCTTCAGATTGTTCTTGTATCTATAAATCTTTGTCTTTCACCATAAAAGAAGAGAAATTAAATGTTCTACACCGAATCATCCTGTTGTGATACCCTATTAATTACAGTACATATACTGTTAATTACTAGTATTTAACCCATATCCCTTGTATCATCCAGTTGAGCCCAAGCCAGGGAATACGGAAGTGATATTCACACTTTGGGCACACAAATGTAAAGAAGGTATCTGCACAAAAAAGAGGAAACCAGGTTCAACCCCTCACTGTACATACAGTCCTTTTCTTTTATTTGTCAACACAGCAACATAATGCACAGTGCAGAATAAAGACAGTGACAAGCTTCAAAGGCAAAAGTAACACTTAAAATACTAAGATTAATTATATCAGATCAGTACTGTGCCTAGCATGTCTACCATTTTATAGCGCTGCATGCAACTGCCTCCCTCCTCATGGCTGCAGGGGATGGGAAGAAGATGATCAGTGGAAAGTAGGTAAGAATCTGGAAGGTGACTCTGTCCTACTTTAAGGGAAACTATCCTCTCATTTAGACAAGCCTATGGAGAATAAGAAAAACAAGTCTGGATGGCTGTTGCACCAGCTGAGATTCAAACCAGGTAGTGCCCAAACACAAATCTAGAATCTTACTATAACAGACATGCTCAGTTGAGTTTGAAGAAAAAGAAGACTTATTTAAGTATGAACTCTATTCTCAAGACCTGAGAGACAGGAAGTAGTACAAGACAGAACCATGTGGGAGAAAACAAGTGATTTCTGCAAAAATTTTCTAGGACATCTTACCAACAGAATGCGAACAATCAGCTTCTGAATTGCTAATATTTCTAGTGTTAACTCGAAACAAGAACTAATAACTGAAAACTGAATTCTCCTTTAAACAATGATATTAAATTATTTTCATGCAGAAACGCATCTTCTAAATCTGATGTGAATTTTTAACACAGGCTGTGTGTTTTCTTTGCAGTACAAACTGAATGTTTAAATAGTATTCAACAAGCCACAGCTCCAAAGGGTTAAAACAATTAAATACACAAAATTGCATGCCTTTTTGAGATACCCTAAATTGTAATTTATGTGACTCACCGAAGTGCATCTTCTCTAACAGTCCTCTGAGGCGCAAAACACGCAATGGCCCATACTCGGATTTCTACCCCTGTGAAGAACTGTTTCCCCCTCATGTCCCACACACCTTGGTTTGGCATAGCCTGCTGCTTCGTCTGTGCACAAACCAACACACAGTAACAAAACAATTACTGATATTTCACAAAGTTCTGCAATGTCTGTTCAGGTAACAAATCCCAAAATGTTTCTGAAAACAAAATATTCAAAAGCAAAAATATTCATACAAAAAATATTACATTTCATTTCATACCTTAAATATCGACCACAATTGTGTGGCTAGGGCCCAGAATAAAAGCATACACATACTATAAAAATTTACAAACGCAGCTCACATTTGAGTGGTAAAATAAATATGTTCAGTAAAATTTCAAATGGTTGCAATATACATATAACAGAGCACTAGATGCTCTTCTCTTAGAAACAAACTCTGCCCTAAACACACATCTGGTATTAATAATACATATGGGTGAATCATACCAATTTCATATTCTAGTCCGAAGTCCATGTTCTGCAACAATTCTGAAGAGACTAACTCAGAATTACTGCTTTCTTAGTGTGTTATACGCCGATTCACCAACAAAAGGAACTCAATATGTCGAATACCACCCAAATCCATGCACAAATAAGTTCACCACATCAAGACAGAGCAAAAACTAAAAGGTAAATAATTTCAAAGCCCCTTAGGTGGTCTGTTTCTTTGTGCTTACCACTAACATTTTGCTATTCATTTCTGGTTAATTGACAGTATGCAGTGGTGGTAACACAAGTCTGTGTCAATACGGTATTATGTTTTGAAAAGATGTTTTATATTAGATCCATAAAAATATCGAGTATATTCAAACCCAAGAGCAAGGAAGGACTGAAGAAAACTGAAAAATGAGGAGCTGCATAATACATACTCTTCACCAAATAATATTATTAGGATAAATCAGGGAAAGATGAACAAGGCATGTAGCATGAATGGCAGATTAGAAATGCATACAAAGTTCATTCAGAAAACTTGAATCGAAGAGACCACCTGGAAGACCCAGGAACATATGGGAGAATGATATTAGAATGGATGCAAATAGGGTAGAAGGGCATTCAGTTGTACAGCATACCTGTCCAAAATTATTCTGATTTACAAATTATATATACAGGCTGCAGTAATTGAAGGGCTTGTTACACCCCCATATCTCATAAATTTATGTTATTATTATTATTCTCCCATCCGTGCCTAGATTTTCCAGATGGTCTCCCTACTTTAGGTGTTCAGAATAAAATTTTCTATGTAATTCTCATGTCCCATGCATGCTACATTGCCCAGCGATCTAATCCTTAATCTTATCACCCAAACAATATTACATGAAGAGCACAAAGCTTAACAGAAAAGCTCTATTAAATGCAGGTAGGGAAGTTGGTCCAGAAGAAAACAAGGAGAAAAACTAAGCACATGTTTTGTGTTCATCTCTTATCACAATACTACAGAAGAAAACCCATTATGTAAAGGTACATAATAAATTCCCTGAAAATGCAGCTTCGTTGAAGTACTTCGGAACAATGGAAACAAATAAGAATTGCATTCATGTGGAAATTATGAGTAGACTAAATGCGGGGAATGTCTGCCACCACGCAGGTCAGAATCTTTTGTTTTCCTGCCTGCTATCTAAAAACGTAAAAATTAAAAATATACTAAACCAAGTTTCATGTTGTTCTATATGGACATAAAATCTAGTTTCTAACATTAAGGGAAAAAACAGACTGGGGGTGACTGATAACAGGGTGCTTAGGAAAATATTTAGAACTAAGAGGAATGAAGTGATGTGAGACTGGAGAAAATTATGTAACAAGGAGCCTAACAGCATCTATGAATCACCAAATATCATGAGGGTGTTCAAAATAAGAAGGGTAAGATAGGTGGTGCATGTAGCGTGCATGGGGTGGTGATCACATAACATTTCTGTTCGAAAGTGTGAAGGGAAGACAATCAATGATAATGTTAAAATGGACCTTATGAAAACTGGGTATCAGGGAGTGGCTCAGGATGAGTGCCAGTAATGTGCTCTTGTAAACACAGTAATGTACCTCTGGATAAGGAACTTTCTTTTCTTAACTGCAGAAATGTTAGATATTAAACAGCCAGTAATTTTCTTAACACAGATGTCTGTTGTGGGTTGTGCTAAATTATTTTGCTTTCACCATCCAGCATGGGACTGCTTACAAGAGGAAAGACAACACTGAAAAAATGATTCACTATGTTTAAAATAGACACTCACTTGAAAGGCATTTCATATATCACTAGTGATGCATTATGCATTCAGTAAGCTTTGTGTATGAACTGATGTTACATTATAATTTCATAATTTCAAATGCTACATGATAAATCCCAGCAATTCAAAAGCACACAGATCTGAGACCATACTCGAATACCAAGCACTGTTTACGACATATGACAATAACTGAACATATTCTGTAAACAAACACATTTTCTGAAGTATTTTAAATGAAATATTTGAGGACAAAAATTTATTAGAGATTTACACAAGATTTGAAGTTTGTACAAAAATTTAGATTGTGGTCTTCCAGATTATGACAGCATGTTGGTGCCAACAG